TTTGGTAGCCATTTTCACCGTGAAGATAAAATAAAGTCCGAAATTTTTTTTTTTTCATAATAAAGTATATTACATTAGCTTTAATTTACGATATATATAAAAGTGTCAGACTTTCCGGAACACATTCAAAATTTAAGTTGAAAAAGTTCTACTTTCTACATGCATTTTTTAGATTTGAACCCCTCTCGTATATAGGGAAATGGTCCGATTAAAAAAAAAAGTATGTCGAATGAAAGATCTATATAAATACTACTTCTCATAAAAAAATTGTAATGATCCATACATTTTTCAAAAAGTTATAGCATAATAAAGTTAAAAATGTAAAATACAAAATCGAAAATTTTCACACAAAAATAGCATTCGGTAGCCATTTTCACCATGAAGATAAAATAAAGTCCGATATTTTTTTTTTTCATAATAAAGTCTATTACATTAGCTTTAATTTAAGATATATATAAAAGTGTCAGACCTTCCGGAACACTTTCAAAAGTTAAGTTGAAAAAGTTCTACTTTCTATATGCATTTTTATGTTTTGAATCCCCCCTGTATTAAGGGAAATGGTCCGATTTAAAAAAAAAGTATGTCGAATGAAAGATCTATATAAATACTACTTCTCATAAAAAAATTGTAATGATTCATACATTTTTCAAAAAGTTATAGCATAATAAAGTTAAAAATGGAAAATACAAAATCGAAAATTTTCACACAAAAATAGCATTCGGTAGCCATTTTCACCCTGATGATAAAATAAAGTCCGATATTTTTTTTTTTTGCATAATAAAGAACATTACATTATCTTTAATTTAAGATATATATAAAAGTGTCAGACCTTCTGGAACACTTTCAAAAGTTAAGTTGAAAAAATTAATTTTTTGTAAAAAAGTTGTTATTTTAAATCCCCCCCTGTGGGAAGGTAAAAAGTCAGATTTATAAAAAAAATATACCAAATGATAGGTAATGACATCAATCATCTATAAAAAGAAGAACTATATTGATATGTTTACTTTTAAAAAAGTTTCGGCAGTTTTTAGTAAAAAAAATTGAAAAAATTTCGAAAATTAGCCATTTTTAAATTTGTAATTTTTTTGGAGGTTTCCCCCATTAATGGGGAACGAGGGAATTTTTTTCAATTTTTGAGGGTAATGTCTTCGACTAGATACGATTTGTGATCTTTTGACGTATCATTGAAAGAAATCGGTTCGGTGAGAGCTGAGAAAAAGTGGTAATAGACACAAAAAAAAAAAACACAACATAGTAAAACCAATACCTTCTCAGCTTCGTATCAAAGTTTAAGTACCTATCATAAAATATATATATTATAAACAGAATGTTCAAAAAGTAAGTATCTTACAACTCTTATAACATTGAAACATTTAACATTTCGTTTTTTATCTGAAATAACATGCATTTCTGGACTAGGTTAAAATTATATTTTAGCTTCGATGCGGAGCTGAGAAGGTATTAATTTTATTATGCGTTTTTTTTTTTTTGGTATGTCTAACAAAACGTCAAGAGATCACAAATTGTATCTAGTTAAAGACATTAGTCTTAAAAATTGAAAAAATTTCTCTCATTTCATGTAAATGTACAGATTTGCATTAAAGCGTTTGTTATGATATTATTCAGTGTTAGATATCATCTATACTTAGCCCAACTATGCCACGTCTCACTGACCATGACCTTACTGTGCTACTGTTTTATTATTTATGTTTAATAATAATTTGTTTTCTTAATTTCAAAGTAGTCAGCTTTTAGCATTTTTTTTACAAAAATGATTAATGGGTCGATAACCATTTTAGGACGATTAAATTTTGAGTTACAAGCATATTAATAAATAAATTGTATATGTAGCGCGGGTAGGTACAGCTCATATTGGTGTATATTAATAACGTATAAACCACTTGCTTTCATGTATTAACCATTAGTTAATTGGTCAATCCATAAAAGTGTACTTAACAGTGAGTACAAACTTCTCAATTTAAATGTAATTGGTATTACCACAGTATACAATGTATCTATTCAATTTATCATATCATTTATTAATTTTGATATCAATGAAATTTTATATAATCTGATATCATTATATTTTTCCTTTGATTGTTTATCATAAATGTCCTCTTAGTAAATATGCTAAAGTTTCGGGCAAAATGGAAATACAATTTTTAAATTACAAATAAAGGTTTCTTGTAAAAAATTACATCTAATTTAAGTAAAAGTACTGTCGTTTTATGAATTTTCTTCGAATTTATAACAGTGTTGAAGTTTAAGTATTTATGACTTGGTGAGTTTTTTTTAATAAAAAAAGGGTTAATTATTCAATTTATGTTAAAAATATCAATCAAGAATTGTAGATCATGTTTTTGTTACAGCACAGTAATAATTTTAAAAAACTGCTACATTCTATAGATTATAATTGAATACATTAATATTTCTTATTATTTAAACATAAGAAAAATAGTTTAACTTTTAAAATGTCATTATTAAAATTTTAAACTTTGAGAAATAATAAAATTTTATTTAATTAAATCCTCAAATCAATAAAATACCACTATTATAATATGAAATTTTTAATATATGGAATTAAAAAAATATATCAGTCCTATCAGAAATGCAATTTAATCATTTTATTGGTAACGTAGAACATCATATTTATGTAATTATGTGTGAAAATGATTTATTCCTTTAAGTTTGAAAAGAAGCATATTATTAACCATACTATAATATTTTTATTTAAATTTAATATGACATTGGCTTTTAGATTTTAAACTAAATACAGTATATTAAGGACTAATTAAAAATAGATTTCAAGTTCATTTTTCTCTAATCGTATAATAAAATTATTAAGTTTAAATAATCTTTCTTTTAAATTTACAATAAATTTAAAAATTTTACTTTTTCAGATCTACTTTCAGCTAATAATAAATTAATTTTCTTTGATTAGTATGGATGACCTGGTTGAAGACAAAATTATTTATCAAGTGTATTTGACTCATTTAAAATTATTTACTTCAAAATTTTCATCTATCAAAACTAGAATTGTCACTTTAAACAACATGTGGAACTATATAAGATTTTATTTAGCTAAACCAGAGATAATTTTATGTCTAGCACTAATAGTATGTTTGTATGCTTTTACGGGCAATTTATACCAGATTATAAATGGACTTATCAAAAAAATTAATCGTAATATTAAATCAGTTGGCATTGGAAATTTTCAACAGCTAGTAATTGATGAAAAAGATGCTCTTAGTAAAAACTGGTCCTTTGATGGCAATAATGTTGCATTGTATGCTATTAAAGGTAGACGATCACAAATGGAAGATCGTTATGTAATAAAAACAAATGTCATGAATACAGAAATTTCACTGTTTGCTGTATTTGATGGACATGGTGGGGAAGTAAGCGTATTTTTTATTATATTAGAATAATATAATTTTTTACTCCAAAGTTAATGTGTTCTAAAATATTGTATACTTTGAATTTTGAAAACAGTTATATTATATGTATGATCATCTAAAATTAAAATAGCTAATATTTTAAAATCAAAATTAGGTTATGAATGTGTTAAAGCTTTCATGGATTGTCTTGTTGCTTGAAGTGCAAGGATTTATCCATGTTTGTAGTTGAGTTCTGACGTATTGGACTCATTGCAGAGTCCATCTTCATGGTTGCTCTGAAGATGGACTCTGCAATGAGTCAGAAATGTCAGAACTCAACTACAAACATGGATAAATCCTTAAGCACTTCAAGCAACAAAATTAGGTTTTCATAAAATAAAATAAAAATAGGAATTCGTTTCATAATTTCTTAACATAACTTATTTTCAGTTTGCTGCAGAATACGCCACTATAAATTTAATGCCAAATCTTATTAACAAAGTCATTGAAATAAAGAAAATACTTGGTGATAAAAAGAGTGGTTTAAATGAAAAAGTCAAGGTATCAGTGCCTAGTACTCCTGAAACATTAACACCTCAAATGAAACCTAAAATCATAAAATCGGATGTACAAACAGTATCCAAAATAAAACAAGTTTCTTTCACTGATGACACTGGAATTAAAAGACGATTGAGCATAAATCCAGTTTCACTTAAAAAAGATATTCAGTCGTCTATGAAAGAATCTGATCATGTGTTAATAGATCCATCTTCGTACATATCTAACGATGGAAGTGTTAACTTTTCAAAACTTTTAATTGATGAAGTATTATTAGCTGACAAATTGTTGATTGAAAGAGCAAAACGTACTTACGATATTGCTGGTAAGTAATATATACAATATATTCCTTATGTCTTGAACTTTGATTATTAAAATGTTTAATAAGAACAATTCCCTTTGAATTATTGATCGATTATTAATTAAATAGTCATCTTTGATTTCCCTTCTAAATTTACTGACAAACTTGTTTATTATGATAACATATAAAATCTTTTGCTCATAGTCCTAAAAGTTTCTAAAAATTAAGTTCAGTTTTAGTCACTTACAGATTTATTGTAGTATTAAAATAAGATATTTTTATTTATAATGTATACAGAAAGATATGATAAATCCAATAACTTTTGATCCTATTATTTAATTGATAATTTTTTTATAATAATTATTGTCTTCTTAGATTATATTTAAAGTATATTTTTTATTATTTATCATTTTAAGTAGAAAGATTTGGGGATTAAAACCATGCATAAATAACAGCATGGCAATGAGCACAATATCCTCTGTGTTCCAAGCAGAGGTAATCACAATACTAGTAGGGGCCCAGAACCTGCTAGTATTCAAGAAAAGGGAACATAACTATTCTAAGTGGTAGTCAAGCTGTTCTGGAAGCACTTATTAATAACCAAGTAACTTCAAGGCTAGTTCTTGAATGTAGGGAAACTTTAAAATCACTAACAAGGTGAATAAAGTTACACTGGTGTGGGTACCAGGACAAAGCAGTGTGACTGGTAATGAAAAAGCAGACTTTCTAGAGTTAAAAGGTGCAGAAAAGACCTATGTTAGACTATAACCCGTGGTAGAATTCACAGAGCAATTCTTCAAAATACTACTCAAAAACTGATGTAGAAAACAACACAGGAAAATATGGTGTTACCTAGTAGTATCCAGACAATTGAAAATGTTTATTAAGATTCTTACTGTACTACTAAAGGAACTTAATAACATGACTAGATATTAAATAAGCACTCTGGCTGGACAACTGACAGGACATGGTCATTTGCTTAAACATCTTTACACAATGGAAGTGACAGAATCACCTCTGTGCAGTGTGGAACAAAAGAAGAAGATTCATTTCTTATTATGCATGAATGTGATACCCTGGCCACATTATAATCTAAATATTTGGCAATCTTTTTCCAAAAAATCTGATATCAAAAAACTAAATTCCAAACAGATACTTAATTTAGCTAGAGAGACAGCACTGTTTGAATATATATAGGTGCGACCTAGTAGGACGTCCTATATATAATATTAGGTATTCAACAATAGCAACAACACTGGTGGTAATACTTATGCGAAGAAACTGAATTAATATAATTTGGTAGAAGATGTGCATAATGGATCTATAGGTCTGAGTCAATGGGCAGTTCTTACCCACCTCTATAACAAGTAAAACTAAAAAAATTTTAGCTATTAAAAAAAAGGCTAAAAATGGCTATTTTAAAATTTAAAAAAATATAATTTAAATGCAGTTTAATAAAGAAATAATTTCTTAAAAAAAAATTTCAATAAATTAATAATTAAATTAAAAGTTGTTAGATTTTTATATCTTCATGACTGAATCTGTACTTATAAATACCCGAAAACAGAGTTATCACATTTATCAATAAACTCTACATGTAGTAAATATATCTCTTTAATAATTGATTTTCTTATGATTTCCTCAAAAATTAGTTTTAAGAAAAAATTTTAAAATTCACTTATTATATATTAGTGACCATTTAATTTTTATTTAAAATTTAATCTAAAACATTTTTATTTAGGTAGTACAGCACTTATTGCTTTAGTTGAAAAAAATACTTTATTCGTTGCAAATGTTGGTGATTCTAGAGGTGTAATGTGTGACAAGAAAGGGAATGCTATTCCTCTATCATTTGATCACAAACCTCAACAAGTAATAATAACTATAATAATATAATTTACTTATTTTAGCTTCTATGCGAAGCTGAGAAGGTATTGGTTTTACTATAATGTGTTTTTTTTTTGTGTCCGTTACCACTTTTTCTCAGCTCTCACTGAAACGATTTCTTTCAATGATACGTCAAAAGATCACAAATCGTATCTAGTCGAAGACATTACCCTCAAAAATTAAAAAAATTTCTCTATGGGAAAAAATTCTCCATAAATGGGGGAAACCTCCAAAAAAATTGAAAATATAAAAATCGCTAATTTTCGACATTTTCTCAATTTTTTTTACTTAAAACTGCCATAACTTTTTCAAAAATGAACAAATCNTCTATGGGAAAAAATTCTCCATAAATGGGGGAAACCTCCAAAAAAATTGCAAATATAAAAATCGCTAATTTTCGACATTTTCTCAATTTTTTTTACTTAAAACTGCCATAACTTTTTCAAAAATGAACAAATCAATATAATTTTTTTTTTTATAGATGCTTGATATCTTTACTTATCATTTGGTATATTTTTTTTTGTAAATCTGACACTTAACCTGCCCACAGGGGGGAATTTAAAATGACAAATTTTTCACAAAAAATTTACTTTTTCAACTCAACTTTTGAAAGTGTTCCGGAAGGTCTGTCACTTTTATATATATATTAAATTAAAGGTAATGTAATGTACTTTATTATGGAAAAAAAAATTTGACTTCTGAACTTGTCTTCGTGGTGAATATGGCTACCAAATGCTATTTTTGTGTGAAAATTCTCGATTTTATATTCCTATAACTTATTGAAAGTGTATGGATCAACACAATATTTTTATGAGAAATAATATTTTTTAATAATCCCTTTTTCATTCGACATACTTTGTCTTAATCAGGATATTAGTAAGGAACTAGCAGATCATGTAGCTTTTGGAATAATACACCAATTTTTTAAAATTAAACACTATCNAGTGTATGGATCAACACAATATTTTTATGAGAAATAATATTTTTTAATAATCCCTTTTTCATTCGACATACTTTATCTTAATCAGGATATTAGTAAGGAACTAGCAGATCATGTAGCTTTTGGAATAATACACCAATTTTTTAAAATTAAACACTATCTAAAGATTTGCATCGAAGCGTTTTTTTTTAATAGTGATTTTAATCACTGTCAGATATCATTATACTTGACCCAACTATGCCATGTCACCACTGTGCCGTGACCCCCTTGTGCTGGGTTTTTATGCTTAATTTTGTTAATGTCATTAATTTTAAATTGAATATTATATTCAGATATTTAAATTTTAGTAATAAAATATTTTTTATGTAATAATAGACAATTATTTTTAATTATAGATGCGAGAAAAAAAACGTATTGCAGATGCTGGTGGTTTCATTTCGTTTAATGGTGTTTGGCGAGTAGCTGGTGTTTTAGCAACTTCAAGAGCTTTAGGAGACTACCCTTTAAAAGAAAATAAATATGTTATAGCTGATCCTGATGTTTTGACTTTTGATTTAGCATATCATGAGCCCCAGTTTATTATATTGGCATCTGATGGATTATGGGACACATTTACTAATGAAGAAGCAATAGAGTGTATCAAACAACATATTAATGATCCATTTTATGGAGCAAAGTATTTAACACTACAATCTTTTAATAGAGGATCTCTTGATAATATTACTATTTTAGTCATTAAATTTCCATCAACTTGGAGCCAAGATTCTCAAACTGGAAATAATGCAGGTAATAAATAACTTTGAGTGTAACTGTAATGAGACTTATTGAGTTTTTAAAGTTTTCATTGATTTTCCTAGAAATGTATACTAAAACTTGTTTGTTAACTAATATGGATTTTTAAATTATTCTGTTACTCTAAACTATTAATATTTTGTTGATGTAAGTAATTTAAATTTTGTTATGTTAATTGTATCAAATATTAGTTGTACAATTAAGAAATTATATGTTATTATTTTTTAGTTTATTTCTGTTTTGTCTTTTAAAAATTTGTACCAAACATATTACTTTTTAGTTATTTATAAATACAGTTATTTATACATGTTTATTGGACAATTTTACTATTCAAAAATGAGACTGTCCTAATATTTCTAACTTTTTTTTTATATACCATTTTTTTATACCTGTTGTCATTAAACAAAAAAAAATATTAAAATAAGCTTTACATAAATAATGTAAAAATAAATATTATGATTAGAAATAAATAAGGTATACTAAAAAATAATTTAACAATAGTACTTTTATTGAACTTTAATTTGGTATAGGCTTTAAGTTCTAAAAATTCTTGTTTCTAGTTAAACTGTTAAATTTTAAATGTTATATAGTATATAATATATACTATTCTTCATTGACAATTTTTCACAACTTATGTGTCAGCTAGGTAGGTTGATAGGATTTCATTAGGTATTTATATTTATGATCACAAATTATTTTATCGGTAGTTTATGAAATTGATTTTCTTTTTCCTCAAGTTCATTTAGATTTTGTTTTATTAAAGTTTCAGTTAGTAAGTGCTGTATTATAAATATTTGGGTTTTTTTTTTGTCTGTTCAGATTAATTTGTTGGCTTGTTATTATCTAAACTGTTGTTAGTCGATTAATTGATATTAATCTATATTATTTAGTTGTTATTTATTTAAATGTCTTGTCTTTCGCTATTTATTCTAAATTTTTTCTTTATCATGACGAATGAACACCGTCATTCAAGAATGAAACAAAGTGATTGAAAAATGATGAAAGATCATTGTTCAAACGTGATGCAACTAATGGACACATTCATATTGTTTATGAGCTAACATTGAAGGCCAAGACAGATCCAGACCAGCTGACACATTTATTAGTGTCAATAGAAAATTTGGGTTACTAGTGGAAATTTTTTTCTATAGGAACGATGCATTACTGAATGCCATGATTGATTTGAGGGAGGCTGATCAGTTTATTTATAACATGGCACTTTTAGTTTATTAAGAAGTTCGTTAAAACGAAGACTGTAGCTCGGCAGTCAAATCTAACAACTAAAGTCTGCAGGTGGACAACAGGATAGTAAAGTCCAAAGTACAGCTCAGTACCGCATCCTGTGTGTCGTAGTTACCAAACTTTCTTTTATGCAAGTTTGAAGGATAGTTGAAAATTGTCCAGACTTTTGTGACCACTTTAATTCATTTATTCAACGTTCTTCACATACGAATGTTGATAAATTTTATGATCTCTTAAGCTGCCTGCAGGGGTATCCTTCTGAAGTTCTCAGGGGAATTGCAGTAGCGTAAAAGACTTACACTATAGCCTGATCTACTCAAATTGAGACGTATGATAAATTGTGTATAGTGGTTCGTATCATTGATGATATGTTGAAGGCGTCGGTTAGTGGAGTAGAAAATGATAATACATTACAGAAACTCTTAACTATCTACCATAAAGACATTACTACTCTGAGTACTATGAAGATTCCAGAATTTGCATTGTTCTTTTTATTTATGATTGCAGCCAGGTATTTACCAGCTAACAGTAGACGGTTGTTTGAAACAGATAATACCAAGGAGTAGAAGATTGAAGATTTCATAAAATTTGTTAAACCCAAAATTTTGGAGAACGCAGAGCTAGAAAGTTAACCTATTCCATTGTCAAGCAAACCAGCGCAGGGATGGACAAAAAAACCTAATGCTAATGATGGCCAGAAATATACACATTGTTCCATCAGTTTGCTCCATTTGTTCTAAACGCCATCATGCCTAGTTACATCGCGATCAACAAAAATTTCGACCATCTATATCTAACAATTTAATCTAATTGCCTTCAATTTTGTTGAGCACTGTAGTATTGGTATCGATAAAGAACGTGGTCAAAGCACCGATTGGTACTTTGAGTGGCGACTACTACAAGAGATTAGGGTTGTGTCCTTCTTGTTGGACGATTCTAGTAACTGATCTTTTTGACCAGAAAGTGCCAGACGTTAAAGGTATGGTCGAATTAAGTTTTAAGTCGCTATCATCACAGCTGTTAATGTGTTATCTGGTTTCTATATCTATCAAATAGCCTTTACCACAGAAATTTGTAAGATGTATAGTTGAGTGGTCTTTAAAATACAAATTTTCAAAATTCGATTTACGCGCACCAAAAAATTGTTCTAATACATGTAAAAATAAACTGTGCAAAATTTGGTCCCGATAGGTTGACGTTAACACGTGCCGCAAGAGGGTTGAAAATTCGATCAAAAGGGTAGTTTTTCAGTTATTGTGCTTTATCTCAAAATATATGATTTTTATGTAAAAGTTTATAAGAAAGAAATTATACATATAATTATTTTACACAAAAAAGATTATTAGCGAAAAACCCATAAGTCAAATATTTACCTCCTAAAAGTCAAAAGTTCCATAAATATTATGTTTACCAGTAAAATTCATATATTTCGGCAATATAAGTATATAAAATTTTCATGTAAAAGTTATTTGAAATTTAATTTTCTATTAGTTTTGTAGAAAAATAAAATTGTTTTACGTGTTTTCTGGCGAGGTAATAAAGAAAACTTATAAATAACAATCATTTTTCTATCATTAATCATTTTTTGTTTAGATAATGTTGTTGAGTTAAATTTGTTTAGTTCCTCAGAATATGAAACAGAAGATGATTTGTCTGGTTCATCATATTCTTCAAAAACACGAGGGTTTATAACTTTTATGAATCCTAAATTACTTTCTGCATTAGATCAATGCAAGATATCTGACCGCGATGCTGTGCATTTAATTATTTCTACTGCTGAAGCATTAGGTAATAACGTATCAAAGTTAATAATCAACCGATCAACTATTCGACGGGAAAGATTATTTACCCCTTAATGGTGTAAAATTTCACTACCCTAGTGTTTTTCATCATGCTAGATGGATGTCTAAAGCAATTTATTCGTTAAAAATATACATGTTCAGAAAATAGCTTAAAATACGAGAAGAACATGTATTTCATAATATTTGTGTATTTTTGGTAAAAGTTTATGTCAAGGCTTGGTTTAAGGAATCTATTGCCATACAATCAGCATTTAATGATTTATGTTTCTTAAAAGTTTTAATTAATTATCCTGATTCTTTTATATCTAAAGCTGCAACACAGAAATTTACCGGACAGTTTACCGGCAGATATTAAACTAAAAATGGTTTAGGCATCAAGAGAGACATCACAAAAGCAAGATAAAAAAAATTACAATAAATCTAAATGATACTAAACTATTTAAAAAAAAAGAACTTGATAGATTTTTTGGAAACTCATCCTCATAGCTAGGTTGAAAATCCTGATTTTCAAAATGGTTTGAAAGTTTTATCTAATCTTCTTGTGACAAACGATATAGCAGAGAGAGGTGTAAAACGTATGCAAGAATACAATGAAATAGTAACTAATGATGATGAACAAAAACAGTTTCTACTACAAGTCGTTAATGATTATAGATCACAATTTGGAGATTGTACTAAAAATTCATTGATGAATAATAACAATTAATAATCCTGTCAAAAACAAAAATTTTTTTTTATATTGTGACTACTAGAAGANTCTGTCAAAAACAAAAAATTTTTTTTTATATTGTGACTACTAGAAGAATTATTTTTATTATTATTTAATTTTATAATATTTTATGAGCATTAAGATCATTTTTCATATTTTTTTTAGCATTTCATTATTGGTTTACTTATTTTATTTGAGTTTGAAAAAA